TGACAGGCCTGTCACAATAACACAATCAATTCTCTCATTTTATTGTGATAATCAATAATATTGTTTGACCATTTTGAACTAACATAAAGCCTGTTCACGGGTCTACGAGACCATGAGCCTAGCAAATACCTGATGATAGGCGTCACTCCTCACACTGAGGAAAAGAAAAGAAAACAAACAAGGCAAACGAAAAATATCAACCATGTTTTAATTTGTTGTGTGATTAATTAATTTATAGCTTATCACGACAGTAGGGCTGTGTATTGGCAAGAATTTGGCGATACGATACATATCATAACAGCGGGGTCACGATACGATATATCCTGATATATTGCGATACTATAAGCAAGGCGATATATTGCGATATATTGCGATTTTTTTGTCCAAAAATTCTATTAAATAAAAACCTCTTACTGAAAAAAAGCTAATATTTACCTACAATGCTAATGCTACCCTTACTCTCTGGCCCTCAAGAGGTAGAGGAGCCAAATGGCTGGCTCACTGCTGCCAACTAGTGGTCAGAGGCTGAACTACAACATAAAAATGAATGGTTGGCAAGAAGTTTGACATTTTAAACCTTAATTAAAAATCGATACAGGGCTTTAGAATATCGATACAGTATCGGGAAATGAAATATCGCGACATTTCAGTGTATCGATATTTTCTTACACCCCTACACGACAGGTCTAGTTCGTGATATTTATCAGATAAACACACAGGCACATAGAGAAACATGATCCCCCACCTTTCAGGACAAATACACTGAATATATTGACACCACAACTTTGTGTGCCAGCAGAAGTGAAGCTGCCACATCTTTTAATATTTTAATAGTTTAACAGTGTTTATGTGTGAACATTGTGTCAAAAACACCAAATGAAAAAGTGACGAAAAGAAGAAGTTTTTTGTTGGCCAGAGGCCAAATCCAGAACATCTGCTGCCAACTCCACGAGTTTGTTGCACCATTAGTGAGTTTGTTGCCTGTTGTTTCTGTCAGTGTGTGTCTGTGTGCGCACGCACACATGTGAGACAGTCGCCTTTTTAGTCAGTTGGACAGTCAAACCACACCAAACTTCAGCGTGCACCTGCTGCTGCTGGGAAAGCTGTGTGTTTGTGTCGGTATCCGTGTAGGAGGGACGGACAGCTGATCTCTGGCCAGCTGCTTCACAAACTTCACGTGTGAACACGAGCAGCAACACTGTGAGGCCGTGCAGCCACGTTTGTGTTTCTGTTTCATTCATAAATCCACCCCACAAACAAAAGAAAATCAGAGCATATTTACTGGACCAAACAAAAACGGACTTTTAATTTGAATTAAAACAGATTCTATTGTTTTAAGCAGCTTATTCAGATTACCTTTATTATAAAAGAGCTAGATTTGGTTTCAAAAATACAAAGACTGCTCCAATGCTGCCGAAAAAAGCGTCCTCTTTTTTCCCCCGATTTGAGGGACGGGTCCGACGGATCCTTCTCAGTCCACCATATCCCACAATGGACAGTTTAAAATAAAAATCTGGCAATATAAAAGTGAAAAGTTTCAAGCAGTTGTGTTATTAATTTATCATTTGTAGACATGTTTTTAACATTATTCGTGCCAGAAATAAAATAAACTGGTATAGAGAAATAAATGTGCACCTACGGCAGGTCCATTATTTCTTCAGATATTACCTTTAAGATAATTTTGTTGTTTTATCATATTTATAATACTAACATATTGATATTTTGCTAATTTCGATCCATTTAGTTTCGCTTCATCACAGTTGCTAGGCGGGTGGGAATAAAGCAGAAGACTAAACCGTCCAGATTCACAGACGCTGTC